CCCACCCCCCCGGGTAACCACCCTGACTATTCCAAAGTGCGCTGATCATCCTTGCCACCAGTATAGGTTTGTATATTTTGCACTTGCAGGCCTTTGTCAACCTTTGATCTACTGGGAGAAGATCACTTTGTGCTTGGAAGACTGGTGCACACTTTAGCAATCCTGATGTACTTGGCTGTCAACGCTATGGTAAGAAAGGCTTTGTGAGCACGCAGATAGCAGAAGTCACTTCCAGTGTTGTGAACTGGGAGCTACCCTGTGAAATAGCGTGCTCTAGGGCTTGTTACACGCAGACTGGGAGCAAGCCTGAGTCCCTTGGGCTAAGGAGTTGCAAAAAGGACTGAGAAAAAATGGTCAGAAAAGGGACCTGGGATTCAGGCACTCCTCCTGCTTCTTTGGATAGTTCTTCTATCAACTTCTGTAGGAGATTTGACACATCACTTCACATCACTGTCTGAGTTTCCTTATCGGTAAAATGGAGTTAATTGTTACCTTGATGTTCACAACAGTGTATGTCAAGGTCCAGTTCTGTAGGTTAGTGTGAATGTGAAGGTATTCAGTGTTTCTCTCGCAATCCTCTTTTACAGGCAGTCACCACAATGGGGAAGGCACTGCTGGAGTTTGTTTGGGCTCTGCGTTTCCACACTGACTCGTGAGTTGTGTCTGTATGCTTTCATTTTTAAAGATTAACTGTGAGCCATGTGTCCAACCATGGCTTGTCTTTGTCCAGGAGAAGCATCTGACTGAGCATGTTGATGACTTAATGCATTCTTCTCTCTGCCCTCCTCCTGCCTTGTGTTCCTATGGCATTGACTATTTCAAGAGTAAGAACTTAAAATGAGGCTATCACTTCAACGTCAGACCAACATAGGAATTTAGCTAGCGTCTCCTGTTGTGGAGGGACAGTCATTACCTGCAGAAAGGTTTCTTTCTGACAAATTTCTTGATCAACTATTCTGGTGATATTCCAGCTACTTTTGCTCAGGGACCTCAGAAAACCTGATAGGTTGAATTCCCACATTCAACCTTGGAAAGAAATCAAGACATATATAGCCAAAATGCTTTAAACATCTAATTGCTGTTCAGCCTCAGACTTTTCTAGGTCTCTGCATTATGGTAGACTCCCTGAACCTCAGCTTGGCTGTGTACATGGGCACTATGCTAGCTAGTGCATGATTAAACTCTTGATCAGCACAAGTATGGCAATAGTGATTATAATCACAAATAGTGGAACCTGGAGGACCCTTGGGGTGAGGAATATTAAGTAAATCAAGGTAGGGCAAGAATCTGCAGGGCTCTTACCAATTCAGTCCTTCTCCAACAGGTATGTGCGCCAGGGTCTCTTGTCCTGTATCTCCTCCATGCTCCTCAGT